GCCCAAGGCATGTGCCATACCCGGTATACGCCACTGCACTGCGAGGACTGGAAATAACTACTTGACAGAGCAAATTTACTCTGGAAATTTATTAGACCAGATCCTGTTATATTTGGTGATCATGGATCACCATATGACAAAGAAAATTTATCAAAAATGTATAATTGGCTAATTTACAAAATATATATATTAATTTATTCAAATAAAAATAAAATCAAGGTAAAACAACTCATCTGTGCTTTTCACGGTCCCATTAGATTCCAATATACCATTCGGAAATGTCGAAATAAAGGATAACAAAAAAATGTTCTGTACATCACTAACCCCTTTGAAGCGAATTATTGATTAAAGAGGATTGTTCTTTTTTCCCACGTGGTGCATTACAGAGATGTGGGACATTTCACAGCGTAAAGAGCTGAAAAACCTGCAATTCCAGCTGATGGGTGCGGGGCCTTTTGAACTGCCGGCTGGAGCATGGAATTGTTTTGACTGAGTTATCAGTGCAGCGTGGCGTGTGACAGATACCTGCCATATTACCGTGAAGAGCAAGCCATTGCTTAGCAGAGCTGCCCGGCTGACCTGGCGACGATGGGGGTATTTATCACAGCCTTGTTTTTACTCGCTTTAATCCCATAAACAGACAATGTCAAACAATCGAGTCGTTAAAGTAACAACAGGCTTTACTGGATGACTTAATGTTATGATTGATCACATGAGGCAGTCATAAAGACTAGAGATTTATTTTATAACATTGTATTTTCTTCTCTTTCATCAAATGCAAATAAAATTATTTTCTTACAGGCTTATTTTTGATCTTAAATGGGGTTTATTTGGTAATTAACACTCTCCTATTGATGTCACCAGTCTCAGACTACACTCATGATGAAGCCAATGTATAGGCTTCATACTCAGTGATGTCACCTCTCTAGCCAATGGATAGGCTGGATTGTCAGTGATGTCACCGGTCTATAGTGAATGGATAGGCTGCATTCTCAGTGATGTCACCGGTCTCTAGTGAATGGATAGGCTGCATTCTCAGTGATGTCACCGGTCTCTAGTGAATGGATAGGCTGCATTCTCAGTGATGTCACCGGTCTCTAGTGAATGGATAGGCTGCATTCTCAGTGATGTCACCGGTCTCCAGTGAATGGATAGGCTGCATTCTCAGTGATGTCACCGGTCTCTAGTGAATGGATAGGTTGCATTCTCAGTGATGTCACCGGTCCCTAGTGAATGGATAGGCTGCATTCTCAGTGATGTCACCGGTCTCCAGTGAATGGATAGGCTGCATTCTCAGTGATGTCACCGGTCTCTAGTGAATGGATAGGCTGCATTCTCAGTGATGTCACCGGTCTCTAGTGAATGGATAGGCTGCATTCTCAGTGATGTCACCGGTCTCTAGTGAATGGATAGGCTGCATTCTCAGTGATGTCACCGGTCTCTAGTGATTGGATAGGCTGCATTCTCAGTGATGTCACCGGTCTCCAGTGAATGGATAGGCTGCATTCTCAGTGATGTCACCGGTCTCTAGTGAATGGATAGGTTGCATTCTCAGTGATGTCACCGGTCTCTAGTGAATGGATAGGCTGCATTCTCAGTGATGTCACCGGTCTCCAGTGAATGGATAGGCTGCATTCTCAGTGATGTCACCGGTCTCTAGTGAATGGATAGGTTGCATTACCAGTGATGTCACCGGTCTCTAGTGAATGGATAGTCTGCATTCTCAGTGATTTCATGACCCTTAGCATACATATTAGTTGCATTCTCATGGGGTAAATCCCAAAATCGAGAATCTTTGAGAAGAATCTAATGACAAACTTGGAGGAACTGCTAGAAAAAATATACTGTAGGGGGGGGATAAAAAAAAAAAATAATTAGACTTTGTTGGAACATATAAGTAAATTTTATTGTCGAGTTAAGTATTGCAGCCATGATTTATGACATTTCTACCAATACACAGTAAGCAAGAACAGTTTGAAAACTGGCAGAGTAAATCTGAATATACTGTAAACTGCGGCATAAAATAACATTATAATAGTATTCAGAATAATAATTATCAATTACTGCATTGAATGTGCTGTCTTTTACAGAAGTAGACTGAAAACAGAACCTGTGATAAAATAAAAAAAACTGCTAAAAATACATACGCCATACACATAGTTCACGGAAGTATCAGGAAAAAAATTAAAGTACATCATTAGGATCCTCATAAAACATAAGTTTTATAGCAATATTTGTAGTGTAGTTTATGGGACATTGCAACATTTATATATTAAAATATGTATTAACAAATAAAAAATACACACAAAATGCTTCATATTCGAGCCCGTAACTTTGTGCAACACACAAAATTTGCAGCTATTCTT